GGGTTCTGTCTGCAGAACGTCTTTTTCATCCAGACCCGACCGCAGTTTCGAACTCGTACCGGTCTCATTAGTGCCTCCGACAAGATCCGAGATCAGCTTGTGCACTGTAGGAGCTTTGAAATGCATATCTGCGTCGCGGAGGCGTAATGAATTGTCATGATGCGAACGATCCGGATTCCGATGAGATCCTGGTGACGTCGAAATTGAAATCCAGACAGGATAAAAAACATTTCAGAATGCAAATCTGGAGGAATCTAGGCTCATGTCATTTTGGGACAATCTCAGACACAAGTATTTACATTAGCTTAAACGAAGTAGAGTAACAAAGTTGTTACAGTATTCATTAAAGTCCAATGCTTTATCACTACCTCAATTGAGTCACGCTTCGTTGCACAAAACTTGGTTCTTATTATGCACTTTTATGTTGTCTTTCTCGCCTGTACCAGGATCTTCCGACTTGGCGAATCAGCACAATCATTTGGCGCAGAAGGTACCCGTTGCCGAAATTCGTCTTTTCCCGTCAAGTTTCACTTCGTACAAGAATCACACCTCAGCCCCACTCATGCTCTTGGCCGACCAATCACCAGCCCCGCCTCCACTGAGTCGAAATCAGGTCAAATTTCCTACACTAATCAGGAGTCTACCTCCACATCGCAAAAAGAATAGAGCTTGACTTCCACGGGATAATAGAGTCGTCAACTCACTACGATCCTTTTTTCTCCCATCGCGTCATTTCCACCAGCCCAAAAATCACATTCACATTTACATTCTCATGCATGTGCAAATTGAAATTCACATTCCAATTTGCATTGGCATTCACGTTGACATTCAAGTTCACAATCGCATTCACGTTCACATTCAAATTCACATTCACATTCACGTTCACACTCACTTTCAAGTTAATATTCCTTCTCACACTCACATTAAAATTCACATTCATCTCCACTTTATCCACTCCGAATCGCCTACTTTTAGCTCTTGGATTGCTGCCATGCCATTGGAAAGAGGTCTCGCTCCAGGCAGCTCTTCCATCGCCGCTCACTTCCTCACTTTCCCTTTTCTGGTCTTGTTCAAGAAGCTCCGACCAGTTCTGTTGGCGATTAACAACATTTTGCCCCTCAACTCAGTCTTGTGCGTCTCTGATTCGGTACATATTTTTACCCGCAACGCAGATGGTATCAGTTCTTCGGCTTCCCCACTCTATTGGTTTCTTTCCGAAATGTAAAACAAGCCTCCTCTTTATACTCATACATACTCTCGGCCGCTTATATGAGCTAAAGGTGAACTTGGAAGAATGTCTTGCAGTCCGACCTCAAAAGGGTGATGTCGTTGATTTGAAGGGCAAGTGCAAAGTTGTATGAAAACAGACTAGACTTCCCAGAATCCCTTAATGATGCACTATGACTCGACTTTTGATTTCGAGGGTAAAGTTGGCCGTAAGAGAGTAGTGACGTGGTCTCACTAAAACCCCAAGGAGCATGGTCTGGGAGAGGATAATGTTGTGGTTTCCTCGACTCACCGTCCCACCCGTCCGATACATCCGCGCCGAGGTTTCGTCTCGCTTAATGTCATTTGAGATAATTTCCTTTTCGTTTTGCCCACAAAGGGGTGACTAGACCTCATGTTGTATGTGAATTTAACCCAGACTTTCCTCGAAAAAGGATACTGCCTCGAGAGGGTGCTGCAATACCAAGTTGGAAAAGGTCTCGCCACCAACCTTAACCGGATTAGCTGCCACGCCATAGCGCCCCTGCCACACCCCCATGCAACCGCAGATGCCAATGGGGCACAGGGCACATTTACAACGCAAAGCATGTCAACAGACGTAATGTTAAAGGTGGCCAAGAGGCTTACGACCCGGTGTCGAATCGCGTTGGGGCTGTTGGCGGGACCTGGATGAAGTCGAAACCTCGCTCCATCCATGCAATGACAACGTGAGGTCTGCTCATGACATTGTAGACAAACGTCAACTATCGGTTGCTAAGTCTTTTTTAAAAGACTAAGAGGGATTAATTTCTCATTCAAGAATTACTGATAGCCTCGAAACTTACTCACATCTAAAATATGTCATCATCAGGGCAAAAATTAAAAAAGAGAAAATAAAATGATAACAGCTATTTCCTAACATGACTAAACTGACACTGTTGAGCTTACTTCTATTTCGAGTGGAAGTGTTGGGTGAATAGATTCGAAGGTCGGTTCCACCAAAAGACGACGGCGGATTCCTCTTGACCAGCTGTCGATTGGCTTTACT